AGGGGTTTCCAAATTCTCAATGCAAAGGAATGCATACACGTTAGACACTGTTCCTGGAGTGCTCAATACAGACTTACAGAGCTGAATAGTGGCTGATATTTCTGGCACTTGCCCGGCTTACATGGGATAAAAGGGCAATTCCTTCTTTCTTTTGTTTTTTTGTTTGTTTAAAAAATTTTTTCCACATACTATGAAAATGCTTTTGAAATCCCTTTTTTTCTACCTCACTCTAGTATTCATTTTTGAACCCCAGGTCCATTGGATCTAATTATGTTTCTAATGCTAGTATAACAAACAGTATTAGGGATACAATATAGAACAATAGTCATGACAGTAAGTAAGCTTTATTCTAAATCCACTGCACTCTATCTCAGGTGCAAGAATTCTATAAAACTTACACTGGTTCTGTACTAGGAAAGCAGATTTAAACAATCAGAGCTGACTCATACAAGTCATGAAACATTGCATGGTAATATTATCATCCAATTAGAATTAAAACATTAAAATAATTCTTTTCTTTTTTTGAGATGGAGTTTCACTCTTGTTACCCAGGCTGGAGTGCAATGGCGCATTCTTGGCTCATTGCAACCTCTGTCTTCTGGGTTCAAACGATTCTCCTGTCTCAGCCTCCCAAGTAGCTGGGATTACAGGCATGTGCCACCATGCCCGGCTAATTTTTTTTGTGTTTAGTAGAGACGGGGTTTCACCATGTTGGCCAGGATGGTCTCGATCTCTTGACCTCGTGATCCACCCACCTCTGGCCTACCAAAGTGCTGGGATTACAGGTGCGAGCCACCGTGCCCAGCCAAAATAATTCTTAAAACACTTTTTAAAATAAGAACGTGTATTTAAGGTAAAATAGTAACTAGTTTTCTTCCAAATATCCTGGTAGAGATAAAACCATTGCTATTATTTCTGAACAGTATACTTTTAATATGCAAGGTTTACAAAATACTCATGGATTTCATTTCATTTCTTCTTCCATCTTTTAAGCAGAGGAAATGAATGTGCTTGATGGGTGGGGAGCACTGGACAGCCAGCTTGTTCTCTCAAGTATCATCAATTTATTCTTTTATAGCTACAAGAATCGTTTGGAGGGGAGGCTGGCAGGTTGAAACTACCCATCCTTTCATGGGTGAAGATGCCAGGTAGAGTACACAGTTACACTCTACTGACACAGCCATCCCAGAGAATAAGAATTGTTTTCCCTCTTATCACTGAGATATCCCAAAATTTATGTTCCCCGCTTCTCAATCTGTAATTTGGCTTCAATGTATGGCTTCCTTTTTGTCACATCACCTCTCTACAAAGTAATTACCCAACAAGTCAGAGAAATTAGATTATGATTCAAGAATGCTGACCTTTAAATATACTCACTCACTTGACAAATTGCAAATTTATTTTATTGCATTACACTCTATAATCAACTTCCTAACAACTTTATCAAGCACCTTTTTAATTACTATCTTGTCCTGCTAGTCTTGAGATTAGGCTACATATATACTAAAACTAGATGTAAAGTTCTTTCTTTATAAATTGTTATTTACCACCATCGTCCCTATACACCACACACACACCAAAATACATATACAAAATACCTCAGTGCTATGAAGGCTGCTGTGTTCATGTAACAACATATTGCATGGTTTTGCTTACTGGGCTGAACTCAAAATGGTTAATTAGAAAAGGAACCAAGCAGCAAACTAGAGTACAGAGTTAAAGCCATATTCTCCTTGCATTTCACTGAACCAACTCAACTGCATGTACTATTACAAATATTTTATAAAATAGTTGATGTATTAAAATGAACAATTATTGTTAGAATTGGTGTATGTGTGTGTGTACAGAGCCTTGCTCTGTTACCCGGGCTGGAGTGCAGTGGCACAATCTCAGCTCACTGCAACCTCTGCCTCCCAGGTTCAGGTAATTCTCCTGCTTCAGGCTCCTGAGTAGCTGGGATGACAGGCAACCACCACCACACCTGGCTAATTTTTGCATATTTAGTAGAGACAGAGTTTCACTATGTTGGCCAGGCTGATCTCAAACTCCTGACCTTAGGTGATCCACCTGCCTTGGCCTCCCAAGGTACAGGCGAGAGCTACCGTGCCCAGAAGGATTTTAATCTTCAAGGTAGTATTTTTTCATCTCCACATTCATTATCACCTCCTTGGTTCAGCAACAGATAATGGGGTATAATGAAAACATTCTTGGCTCCAAGAAGCCTCAAGTAATACTAAGAAACTTTTGGAGCCACAGAGAAACTTGGCTGAATACTGGAATTGCTCTTTGTGAACACAGACTCTCAGTGAACTCCAAGTCAGGGTACTCACAAATACGAGTCTCTTTACTCACATGCTAAAGCCACCAAGCAAGGTGACTTTAAGACATGGGTTTCCAAAACACACATTAGTATCAAGAATGTTTCTTCCTATGAAGATGCTCTTTTTCCCTTGCTACAACAACATAATCACCATCAAAGACATGAATTGCTATTAAAAAAGATGATAATCTGTATGTATTTCTAAACAAACACAGTTCCTAAAAAGTATTATCACAGTAAAAAGCCTTACATGTGGAATTTTTTTCAAGTGGGAGAAGAAACTTTCAATATTTAAGAAAACAAAAATATTTCCCAAAATTAAAATTACAAAAAATATTTTATAATTTATAAATTATTTTTAAAATAATTTTTAAAAATTAGAATTCTAACTGGTTCACAGCAAACAAAACTCAACAATTGTTCTTTCATGGTAAGAGTGCATACAAATTTTCAATAAATGCTATTCTTCTAAAAGTTCATTTTAAAAATTATTATTCAATATATTATTGCCTGTAATAAATCACTGCACACTATACAGGTACTTTTCATGCAGTTAGTCCATGTCATAAAGCAGTGGAAGAAATTCATATCCTGATTTTACCAATGAGGAAACATGCTCAAAAAAATTGAAGCAGCTTGCCTGAGCTCTTACACTTCACGACTGCCTGGCCCATGATAGTGCTGTCTCCCTCAAAAGTTCATCATCTTTTCATCCCATGCTAACTCCCAAACTCTTTTCATTACTATGCCTCAATTTTTCAAATTTTACTTAAAAGATCATGTCTTTATATACTTTTCCACCTCAGGACAAGCACGTATTATGTACTATCACTACAATCACTGGGTGCCGAAGAAAACAAAAGATGAAATGTCTGTGTCCCAGAGGTCCAATTTGGTTTGGCTGGATTTGTTCCTGTATTTCTGGTATTAGTTGTACACTCCCCTGGCCCTCCACCTGCAGCATACACAAGATACAATGGAAACTGCTTGAGGCTGACGTGACATTTAGGAGATTGAATCTTCAAGCAAGTCCCCACGCAGGAGTCACCCCCTTAGCCCTCAACTTCACCACACATCCCTGACCTGGTTTCTATAACTAACGCAAAACTTTAAACAGACATTTTCCCTCTGTCCTTTTCAACACATGACCAAGTATTTTTAAAAATAACTTTTAAATATCATAAACAGCTCAATTAAAAACTAATTCAAAGAGTAAAAGAAATGAAAATACTTTTCTTCAATGAAACCTATCAGGCTCATCATCACTAGAGCATGTCTGCTGTGAAATAAGCACAATACACATCTACTTCCCTGCATATACATGTAGGCTTTCTATACTCTAACACTCCTTTGTCAAATCTTGACGGAAAAATTGTCAAGATGTCAGTGTCCTCAAAATAAACTCTGTCCTTAAAATTTGCAAACCAAAGATGCAGCAATTCTTTAAAATGTTTAGGAACACTCTTAACTCACAAACAGAAACTTTAAAAGGTAGCTTAGTTTCTAAATATAGGGTCAACACGCTCTTCAATCCACCTGGTTTAGAAGAGAAAATAAACAAACCAAAGGGGAGAGGGAAAGAGCAAGGAACTCATGTTAAATACAACCTGACCAGTTCAGAATCTGTCATCATTTGAAAGGGGTTTGAGTAAAGCATAAATACTTAAAATTACCATGGATTTTTTAAAATCTACATTTCGTGCCTTTAAACTTCTATTCTTCTCTTACTACATTTTCTCTACCATATAAACACCTGTCTGACCTGGTTCCTTTCCTCATCAAATCACAAAAGTGCCCACTTACATAATCATTCTCAAGTTCTCTATTCTCTGAAAACCTCTGAAGGGATATGAAAAACTTATACTCTCTGAAAACCTCTGAAGGGATATGAAAAACTTATACACGTTGGCAGAATCTAACCAAAACAACTTACAATTTAACAAGAAATGCTAACAAAATATCTACATTCCTTTTACTCTTACAGCCTTTCAGAAGATTCACATTTTGATTCATATAAAGAAAAAGTAGTTGCAACAATGTAATCACTACTTTGTGGAATGAAATAAATTATTTTCCATGATTAATATAGCTATTCACAGTAACTATTACAAAAGCAGCTGTGTTGTCAAGGGGTTTTAGTAGATGTTTTCTAAACTTAAATATAAAATACGGAAAATACACATTTGAAAATTTGTAAAAAAAAAAAATCTTCAGTATTGTTATTGTTCTTAATTTAAATGTAAATTAAATTCTACCAGGATACACTATTAAAGCATTACCATCCAAAAAATTAGAGACCACAGTCTAATCAAAATAAGCAAGGTTACAATGATTTGAACCAAATTATGTTTACAAATTGCCAAATAGGTCCAAAGTAAAAAAATTCTCAAAAAAAGAAACATATAAAATTACACATAATTACACCACACCACAGCCGCACCCTGTAAACAATGTTTTTGCTGTTAGAATGAGCTTCATAAGTTTTATGTGAAAATTTGTGTTGAATAAACCACAGCTCATTTCATTCCATCTCCTATATTTGGGTACTAAATCATCTCAAAATTAAATTCTTAATATCACCAACTAAAGCTATCTTAACCCACAAATTTTTAAAGGTCATGTTTCCCAAATAATTTACACACTTAAAACTGACACAATTTATTTTAGAATAGTCACTCACCACTTCTTCCAATGCAGCACTTCGCCCAAAAGAACAAGTGAGGTGTGTGAGGCAGTTAACGAAGGAGGAGAAAAGTTCACTTGGAATGGCAGTTAAAACATTTCGTGGGAACACAGTTATCAGGTTGCTGATAATGCTGGAGATTCCCACAGCTTCAGAATCTTCTATTTCAATTCTAAAACCAAGGAATGAATATTATTAAGTGGTAGTAAATGAGTTATTAATATAATAACTCATTTCCAAACAAGCAATACCGTTACTGATTTTAAAAGGCATGTCTCTGTTTATTAATTTCAAATTACCCATATGACTTTACTTCAAAATATAAGGGGGAAAAAATAACTAATTTCTTTTTTTCTTCTACTGTTAAACACAAAACGTAGAGTTCCTTTTTCAGCTGCAAAGGGCAAGTATACCTACCCATTGATAGTATTCAGTAATCCCTCAATGAAGTGTGCTAGATAATCAACTTGTGATCCTTCATCAGGGAAGATGGGTCCATGAAGAGAAGCTAACTGGGCAAGGCACTGTAGAGAATCTTGTGCCATATCTGAATCTTCTCTGATTTTTCGATGTACCTGTTAGAAAGAATTACTAATCCATAAATATAAATTCTTCCTTTGTAAGGGTCACGTGTCTACCATGCCGAATGAGGTAAGAGAAAAATTCACTGTAGCTGGTTATTTCTAGAAAACGAATTCCTGAATTAAACTAAATTGAAAATTGTCCCTCAGTCCACTTTACATTACAGGCATTATTTTAAACATATCAATTAATTTTTAACTGAGGGCTACCTACATTTTGAAAATTGATCCATTTCCAGCATGTTATGACAAAGAGAGAAACAGATGCCAGCCAGTCAGACATACTGCTTCTTCTAAAAACAGCAACAACGACAGTCATCTGTATTATGCTAACTATGCCTAGCTACGGCTTCTTGCTAAAGTTAGCAGACAAGTTCAATCAAGAGTATATAGATGCTGCTTTAGTGGAAGTAAACAGTTGCACACTTAGAAAAGCAATATGCCATTGAATCCATAGACATTCATGCATTCATTCAACCAAAATATAACAAGCACTCTTTTATTAATGCTCAGATCACCTACAATTTGTTTGAATCTCAGTGTAACTTACATCATTCTTATTAATAAATGCTAAAAGTTTTAAATACAAAATATATATTATACTTAAATCCATTTAAATCTCACCTAGATTTTATTTTGGTGATACAATACGGATGTGAAACACCTGGTATAGTGTTCTGTGTGAAGGAAATGCTCTCAAAATACTGCTCCCTAGTTTTACAGTATTAATATTCTCAGATGTTAAAGGTTTCACTTCTGTAATCTAACATAATAGAGCCAAGGAAAATTTGGTGTAGAAATATGATCATTATTAATCCTAATCCTTACTTTTGTATGTACCATTTTGTATTTTGTATTTGCCAAAGCACTTAACTACTCTAGCCCTTTTCTTTCCTACACAAAGTTCTCTTTCTACTTTGTAAATGTTGTATAACATTGAACTCATAGCTTTAGGTGATGTTCACTTTGACTAGGCAAATTGTTTCCAAATTACTTGAGGTCAGACCTATTTAAGTATTTACTAGTATACTGGGCACAATGAACACTCAATAAATCCTTGTTCACTGACTGAGTCTGTTAATCCTTAATCCCTGAATTTCTTTTTTTTTTTTCTTTAGAGACAGAGTTTCTCCATATTGGTCAGGCTGGTCTTGAACTCCAGATCTCAGGTGATCCACCTGCCTCGGCCTCCCAAAGTGCTGGGATTACAGGCATGAGCCACTATGCTCGGCCTATCCCTGAACTTCTTAAGGTTCTAATAATGAAATTTAAAATACTAAATAATCTCTAAAACTTACAAAGTTAATTGATTCACTGACATGCTTAAAATATGCTATACTCTTTTTGGACTAGAACAAATCACAGCCCATAAGCCAAATTTAACCCCTGCCTGTTTTAGTATGGCTGTGAGCTAAGAATGTTCTTTTCCCCCATTTTTGTACGGTTGAGGGAAAACCAACAAAAATAATATTTTGTGACCTATGAAAATTATACAAAAGTCACATTTTAATGACCATCAGTAAGCTTTCCTACAACACCGCTATGCTTATTTATGTATCATCTATAGCTGCTTCTGTACTAGAATGGCAGTGTTGAATATGAACATATGACCTGCAAAGCCGAAAGTGCTTACTGTCTGGCCCTATACAAAAAAATGTCTGCAAATACTTGGTCTAGAATACAAATATTTTTCAAACTATATTCTTTTTTTTTTTTTTTTTTTTTGAGATAGAGTTTCATTCTTGTTATCCAGGCTGGAGTCCAATGGCATGATCTTGGCTCACCGCAACCTCCGCCTCCTGGGTTCAGGCAATTCTCCTGCCTCAGCCTCCCGAGTAGCTGGGATTACAGGTGTGCGCCACCATGCCCAGCTAATTTTTTGTATTTTTAGTAGCGACGGGGTTTCACCATGTTGACGAGGATGGCCTCAATCTCTTGACCTCGTGATCCACCCGCCTCGGCCTCCCAAAATGCTGGGATTACAGGCGTGAGCCACCGTGCCCGGCCTTTTCAAACTATATTCTAATGTATTTTAAGTTTTATATAGTAAATTCTAAGAATAGACAAATTCATATATGTACACTGTCTTGTTCATAAACTTCTGAAAACAACTTGCTCTCATATGTTCTTTATCTGAAACCTTTAATTAAATTTTTGTCTGGATGCCTTAGAATCTAATCAGCATTTAAGCACGAAGTCCAGAGATACATTCTGTCAACAGATACAATGTAATCTGGGACAATAAGAATCCATCTGGCAATCTTGAATGTTCATTATGGTCTTGAAGTGAGCAATCAAAGGAAAGAATACCGTCAATGAAATAGCTAAAAATAAAATTTTAAATAAATAAATAACTGTCTTTGGAGACCATGTGTACTGTTCAAGCTTAATTTACATTCCCTCAAATATAAACCACATAAAACTAATGATAAACGCTTAATTTTTATACAATATAGATTCCTGCCTTTTTTCCAATGTCATCATTACAAAAGAGTTCCTCTATATCTGAACATGTATTTCAATATAAACTGTATTATAAAACTGAAAGCTGAAATCACCACCTGAATATGGGAAAGAGACAGAGGGATAAGGGAAAGCAAAGCCCAGCAGGACGCCCAGTGAGGTGAATGGCAAGGCTACGCATCAAGAAAGGGAACACGAGGAAAGAGAAGCAAGTAAGGAAGATGACGAATTCTACTGGAACATGTTAAATCTGAGACGTCTGTGGGCCATCCAAAGTAAAATATCCAGTAAGCACTTGGATTATAAGGCTCAGAAACTCTGGAGCTGGCTGTGCTGAATATAGATGTAGGAGTCATCCAGGAACCGGTGCCTGAAGTCCTACGCGTGGAAGAAAGAGCCACAGGAAAGTGTACAGAGTCAGCAAAGTAGAGAATTAAGATAGGAATGCCAGTATTTACGTGATGAGCAAAGAAGGAAGAGACCTATAGGTGAGATCAAGAAGACTCTGATCAAAAAGGTAGGAAGAAAACATAATGAAAGTGTTTTCTTTTTCCCAAGACCTTAGGGAAGGAAAAAAAAATCAAGAAGTTTGTTCACCTCTGCAGGGCAGAATGCAACCCAAAGTATTCCACATATTTAAAGTCTTGCTCTTATGCAACAGTATATTGATGCTTATCCAAATCTAGCACAAGTGATATCCAGTGGAAAAGTACTTTAAATTAGGCAATGAATTTCACGTAACTAAAACTAAATTTAACCAAAATTAAATAAAAACATTAGTCACTGTCATTTTTAAAACAAGTAACAAACTTGTTCATAAACTGCTTAAGTGAAAATAGCTACAAACACACAAATTGTTCAAATAATGCAAAAAAGGGTTAACTTTCAAATTCAAAAGTTCTTTGCATGTGGCTGTTCACAGCTGACAGGAGCAGCTGTCTGGTTTGTCTAGACAGCTGTTCAGACTTGGTAGAGCTGTTTCCAGTACTGCCAGCAAGTTTTTCACCTTTTCAAAAACTGCTGGAGTGGAATCTGCTTTCAGTCAAGTGCATAATACAAAGACTTGCACTTGGATTCATATCAAAACAATTCCTGTCAGATGAGGCAGGCAACGGAATTTTAAAATTTAGTTACAATTATCTCTTTGATCTTGATAGTGGTTTTAGCCATCATTTCTCTGATTTTAAAAAGAAACCACAAGGTGATCAATGCTCAGTCCAAATGTTTCCATAGAAAATATATTTTCTATATACCCCTGGATAGATAACCTTTTAGCTATTTTAAAACATATGCCACATAACTACTTTATTGTAAATGGTTCAATCAGAAAAAGGCAGTTGTAGGACTCATCTAGATTTTTAAAACAAATGAAACTATAATTAACAACTGGGATTAAGCAAAATAGCTTTCTTTTTTCTTTTTAATTGGCTTTTACTTGGGCTTTTGTCCATGTCAATATATCTAACTAACTCGTATATTCACCCTATGACTGCAAATTAGCATCCAACACATACACACACACATGAATTGTTTTTCCAGCTTTTGATTATTCTATTGGGGATTCACATTGGCGAATGTGGGAGCATACTGCTTACATCTTGATATTTAACCAATAATAAAGAGGACTGTCTAAAGTTACATATGAGATAAAATGCTATTCATTAATACCAACTTAAACAATGACTCATGAATACAACATAAAACCTACACTCTAGAATAGCAGTTCTCAAACTGGGGCCAGGGATCCCTGAAGTTTTTTAAAAGCCTGTCGGATCGTCTATGAGGAAAAAACCATTTGCATAATAATGTGAAGACAGTATCTGCATTTCCCATTCTCACTGTCACACAGGTAAAAAGGGGAATTTCCCTAAGACCACACAATGTACAATACTGCAGCTAACTGAAGGCAGAAGCAGATAAGATAACCTGTCTTCTATTAAGTCTGATATTACAGATTTGCAAAAATGCAAAACAATGCTAGTCTTCTCATTAAACTTGCTTTGTTTTTTAAAATACTGTTAATTAAAATGTTACTTCTGTTAATATGTTAATAGTTTCTTATTGTTTCTTTTCAGCACATTATTTTGTAAAGCTTTGTTTGAATTTTTAACAGGATAAATATAACCTACATAAAGAAAAGCTCTTTGGAGTTCTCAATAATTATTAGGAGTATAGAGGGGTCCTGAGATTAAAAGATTGAGAACTTCTGCTCTAGGATATTAAGCCCTTCCAAACTATGTGACATTTTTATAAATTAGCAAGAACGTTTTAAAATAATTTCTGTTTAAGCAGCTATATTAATGAAAAGACAAGACTTTAGGGGAAAAAAGCAATCTCTTCTGTTTTACTGAAGAAACATGCCAAGGCATTTCCTCTTTTCTATGGCCCTTGCTACCAGAGACGACAACTAAGACTTACTGTGAAGAAAAGTTCCATAACTCTGCTGTCCAGAAGAGTCTCCCGCCAGGACTCTGTTGGCTTCAATAGCACATTTTGCGAGGATTCAAACATAGCTATATAATGTCTGCCCAGTTATTTGGTGTCAAGGTCAACAACAATAACATTCTTACTTTGTCTAAAGTATAAGTATATCCTAAATATAACAGGAGCCATCTAGAAAGAATTTGTAATGGTAACAGTTTAAGCCTCTTCACATATGCTACATAATTCATGCATGAAGCTGAGGAATAAAAGGCATTAAGTGCGGCGCTGGCGGGGAAGAATGCTAGAGGAATGTAAGGTAACGCTTTCATTGTAATTACATATCATGTGGTAAGGCACACAGAAACTTTGAGAACCGGAGAATTTAATGGTGGCAACAAAAGGAAATATACTTATTGCAAAGCAGCTGCCAAAATTCATGCAAAAACAATCGATTTCTGCAAGTTTATCCCATCATTTCCTCCAATATCTTACAACAATTAACACCACATATTCAAAATGTAAGTCTCATATGGTCTACTTGGGAAAATAACATTTTTCCAAAAGAAATATATTCACTGGGAAAACAAAAGAACAAAAAGATTAAACGCATATCATATTAAAGAAAAAAAAAAACTCCCACAGGTCACAGTATCTAAATATCAAGACAAAAAAATAATCTGCTGACAAAAAACTTTATAGATGCTGATTTAAAATTCCCACAGACTAAACAGCAATTTATATGTGGCATTCGATTTCAAAGATGCTTCAAACAGTATACTGTTTTACCATAAATAAACCATCGTATATTTATAGAATTTTATGAATCCAATTCATACGATTCATTGATACTGCCACAGTAACTGAGGCTTTTTTTCTTTTTTTGAGATAGAGTTTCGCTCTTGTTGCCCAGGCTGGAGTGCAATGGTACGACCTCGGCTCACTGAAACTTCTACCTCTCTGGTTCAAGTGATTATCCTGCCTCAGCCTCCCAAGCAGCTGGGATTACAAGCATGCACCACCAGGCCCAGCTAATTTTGTATTTAGTAGAGATGGGGTTTCTCCACGTTGGTCAGGCTGGTCTCGAATTCCCAACCTCAGGTGATCCACCCGCCTCAGCCTCCCAAAGTGCTGGGATTACAGGCGTGAGCCTCACCATACCTGGCCAAGTGAGGCTTTTAAGAAATGAAAAAACTTGGCTGGACATGGTGGCTCACGCCTGTAATCCCAGCACTCTGGGAAGCCCAAGTGGGTGGATCATCTGAGGTCAGGGGTTAGAGACCAGCCTGGCCAACACAGTGAAACCCCGTCTCTACTAAAAATAGGCGTGGTGGTACGTGCCTGTAGTCCCAGATATTCCAGAAACTGAGGCTGCAGTGAGCCAAGATCGTGGCACTGCACTCCAGCCTGGGTGAATGCGCTCCAGCCTGGATGAATGCGTTCCAGCCTGGGCGACAGAGATTCCATCTCAAAAAAAAAAAAAAAAATATATATATATATATATACACACACACACATACACACACACACACACACAAAAGAAATGATCAAACCCCCTGGGGATAAAGACAGTAGCTATGACCCTTCCACTGCTAGCCAAATGCAGCTAAAATACTTCGACTATGCAACATTCACATCACTCAATAAGAAAACTTAATGACAATTACCCAGAGCTATCCTATAAAAAAAGTAGATAGAAATCCAAATACTATACTTTGATTAAAGTCTAAATCATTATTTTTACAGAAAAATTATCATTCACAGAGAAAATTAAAGGCTGTAATAATGCTCTGAATCTTTTGTTTGGTTTTTAAAGATTATTGTTTAACCCCTTTAAAATAGCTAATACTATTCTATCTCTGAAGAGCAAGGAGGGGCACTATGAGTTGTTTCAAGAAGGAAAGTCACTGCTTGTTTCTGAAAAGCCATCCCCAAAATCTTCTGCAACTCTGTTTGACTGATTAACAAAAGTGAAACTCAAATCTGGTTCATTTCAACTTCTCACTTCCTTTATCTGCCCCCTTGTGGAGGTACAGGGAAAGAGGGGAAGGCCAAAAAAGCCAAAAGAAAGGAGCCTGATTTTAAAAAGAAGGAAAAAAAAATCAGCCCATGAACACTAAGAGTTATTAATATAGAGTGAGTTCATTTTCTCATGAGGCACTGATGGTGATCTAAGGCCAATGCTGTGTTCTTCACCCAATACTACAATATACTGATTTATCTGACACCTAAGATTTGCTACAGAATAGTCTAAAACAAGACTGGCTGTTTAAAGCTGGGTATTCTCCCTATTACTGTATATCTTTGAAATTTTCTACAATAACGGAATGGCAGAGGGTTTAGTAGGTGAAATAAATCATCTGAGTGAGGCAATCAATTCTTTGTGGGGCGTGCGTGTGCATGCGTGAGAGTGAGAGAGAGTGTGTGTGTGTGTATGTGTGTGTGTGTGTGTGTTTTAATGAGACAGGGTCTATGTTGCCCATGGAGGTCTTGAACTCCTGAGCTCAAGTGATCCTCTTGTCTCAGCCTCCCAAAGTGCAAGGATTATAGACATAAGCCACTATGCCTGGCTAATTCTTTGTACTTCATAAAAAGTTAAATGTATTTCACTTATAGTTTGATTTCTCTTTATTTTCAATATGCCAAATCTAACAAACAAAATATATGCATTTAACATTTTCAACTAGGAAAATAATGATTTTGTAATTTCATATGCTTATAAAAGGTGTTATGATTTTATTTTTAAATTAGGATATGAGACAGAGCAATGGGTTCATATAACCATAATAAAACGGTTGGTCTCAAACTGACAATTTACCATTTTAGTAGCTAGCAGATGTGTGATCACTCAGAGTAAGAAGGCAAATACTTCAGGTGCTGTAACTGCAAGAGAATGAAAGTCCAAATCTCCCTTCAAGAGCTGCAGACGGTTCAAGTAGGAAGGAAGAATACAAGTGGCAGAAGCAAAGGGGGTAATATTTATACATTTTGCTACTTCTGGAAATATGAAAAAGTCTATTCCAAGTAAATGAGGAAAGTCTCCCACATTCTAATTATGCCTTCCAGGTATAATACAGCAAGCAGGGCAACAGAGTCTTTTGGTAAGAGGGAGATGATAATCTAAAGATTCAATAAATCTTACAAAAATATCAGTAAGAAAATACAGAAAGAAATCTTAAAAAAGGAAACTATTAAACCTAATATAATTCTCTCCTATATCTTTTTATAAATTATAAAAAGCATATACTCTATTAATACTCTGGATATCAATTATTTACATTAAGGGAAAATGGATATGAGTATTTTTGTTTTTGGGTTTTTTTTTTTTTTGATACAGTTTTGCCCTTGTTGCCCAGGCTGGAGTGCAGTGGTGTGATCTTGGCTCACCACAACCTCCACCTCCCGATTCAAGCCATTCTCCTGCCTCAGCCTCCCAAGTAACCTCCCAATTACAGGCACCCGCCAACATACCTGGCTAATTTTTGTATTTTCAGTAGAGACAGGGTTTTACCATGTTGGTTAGGCTGGTCTCGAAATCCTGACCTCGTGATCTGCTCGCCTCAGCCTCCCTAAGTGCTGACATTACAGGCGCGGGCCACTGCGCCCAGCCGGATATGAGTTTTAAAAAGGGTTTTTTCCAGATATAAAATGAAATTCATTGCAATGGCTCATGTTAAACATCAGATTCAAAATAATCCTGAAATCTCATTTTTTAAAATCTTGGTTTAGCCTCTCCTGATCATGGTCTGTTTTTCAGTACACTGTCCCTGGTGCCCGACTCTATGGCCAATTTGCTTCAAAAGTTGGTAACCAAAATATTTTTAAGATTAAAATTCCTTATATGTGGCCAAGAGCATGGGAGATTTATGAGTCAGTATGTAATACCTATCAGAAAACACTTTTCCCATGATTATTACAAAGCTCCGTGTGACTTTAGTTTTCCGCCTCCAAACCTGGAAAGGATTTTTATCTCTGGCATGATGTTTGCCTTCTAGCAAGAATGCACACTTGTAATGTTCCATGCAAAGAGGCTACACTTATCTTCCACTGAAAAACTAATCTACACACGGCAGACTTCACTACCTTCTATCAGCCAGCCTGGCAGTATCACTAATAATACCACTATTACATACCATAATAAAAATGCACATGCACTTATATTATAGTTTTTATAAGACAACTGTAATCCTATAACTACAAATCATAACCCATTCTACTAAAAAAAAAAATTTTTATTCCCAAAAGCATTTAAATAAAACGTTAAACACAAAGACAACAAAAACAGAATAATAAATGTTTAAATGGAACAGCATTATAAATGTTTACATAGAACAAACGTTGAAAGACAATGCTATTCTGACAAGAAATACGTTTTGGTTATCAGATTGCACGGCAAAACTGCTGAAGTTGCTGCCCCTGAATAAGAGACTACGCTGGCTCTTATGTGGGAGGGGGGCTTACTATGCATTGTTTAATGTTTACTATTACCTAAAATATTGTTATTCATGTTCATGCATTACTTTTCAATTTAAAAAGAAACTTGTGAAAAGCATATCACAATGTGATCAGAATAACGATATACAAATCTGGACCATATCTTTACATTCAAAATAATATAAAGAATTAAGGTAATTCATTTTTAATCAGGTATTCTCAAATGACAATTTCTATCTGTATGTATAAAAAATAAAAAATACCATTTCAACTCCAGATAATTCTTAATAATTCCCTAAGAAATCAAAAAATGCCATTTCTACCCCAGAAATTTTTTAAATTCTTAATTTAAAAAACAAACAGAACCACTACCACCAAAATTTGGAAAGCTAGCACTACTATTCTCCAAACAATATTTTAAAAATCATTTCAAAGCTATATAAAGCAATACTTCCATTTAAAAATAATTTTAATAAAACAACAGTTTCCTTTTAAAACTTACAAAAGTTTTGGTTCATAGTCACCACTTTAGCATGTTACAGTATCTGGACATTACGTTGCTTTATCTTTTGCAACAAACATGCCACTAACAAAAGAACAGTTTGACAATGAACTGATCATTTACTAAACTGTCTTTTATTACATGCTAGTAAAATTTTATGAGACACACAAGTCA